GACTGCAAATAGATGTTATTTGAATATTATTTGCAGAACATAAAATTCGCGCTTTAATGTTTTATGTCTCTAACTATCATAATCTGTAAATATAAACCTTTATCTATTTCATAAACTAGTGAATTAACACATCTTTACCTTTCTTGGTAAATTATTAGAGTTTTCTATTAAACGACTCACAGGTATGACCAGCAGGTGCACATACTTTTTCATCTATTCTTTAGATTAAAGAGCTTCAAATTTGTTTTCCAGACGTTAATCATGATGATGATGATATATATCTGGGCTTCTAGGTGAATAATAAAGGCTATATAATAAAGGCTCATTCAAGGCTATAAAGGGTTTGCGATAAACTACTGACATACATAGATTTTTTAGTTATAGTTGGGTGCTACTTTGTCATATATTATTTCCTTTCACAAATCTGTTCCTGTCGAGTGCATAATAAAAGAAGACAGGAGTGCATAATTCGGTTGTTATCAGTTGGAGAACACATCACATGTTGAGAATGTTTCTTCATTAAAGCTACTGTGGCTTGTTACATCAACTGTCAAGTTAGAAAGTCGACGTTTACGGTCATCTACCTACCTATTATATAAAAGCAAACAGTTAAAACTAAACGATTGGACTGATATCAATAATTTGTAAATACTTTTCTAACTTCCATTATGCTTTATGCCTTACACAGAAGCACGGAAATATTTCATCACTGTAATCGTTCCATACTGCAATGTCCAACAAATCGGAAGATACTTTATTAAACAGTATCTGGCTTGTATGTTTTTAGAGGTACTACAATCTATAATTCCTCTAATATAGATCTCTTTTATTAATGATATATAGATTTATTTTTGTGTGAATTTCTGTATAATGACATAATGTACAGAACTTAAGGTCATTGCTTGCTAATACAACAGATCAGTTATGGTCTCAGTACTTCTCTTTATTAGAAGCTCAGAATTCTGTTTAATTCTCAAATTGTGTGGAGCTTTCTACACCATTTCTAATTCTAAAAATGTGTAAAATATCAGTGCTTCTCAAGCAAATGATTCTTCCCCTCTGGAAGATGCTAAAGTAATCTATAAATCAATGTCTTAAAAATTTCGATATAAAATGATTGATCTAGTAAGGTGAATTTAATAATACATCTATGCCTAAATTATATCTATAAAACATGATTCATATTCAGGAATATTTCACAAAAAACAAAAACATACATTATAACATTATTTTTAATATACAAAATGTAAACATGATTAATTATCCGTCGTGATTTTAACAAATCATTTAAAATACATCAAATCCATTTCAACTTCCCTGACCCATTTTAATTGCAACTCTCGCTTGCGCAATAATTGCTAACATTTTTAATTTTTTTACAGCAAATTAAACAAAGGCTTTACACTATTTGCAACAATTATATTTTTTTTTTATAATAATTCAACATTTTTTGGTTTTTCTGTATTTGTTTTTAAACAATTAATAAACGTGTAAATGCTTCTTCTTCGTTTCGTTAGGCACCACTGACCTACGGTATGGCGGTGGAGGTGGCGGCAGCAGTAGTGCGAGCATTATTGGTGGCGGAATCGGAGCAGGCAGTGTTGGGGGTTTTGTTGGTGGTTATTCAAGCAGTAATAATTATTGCAACAGCCTTTTGGCACGTCGACGGGGTTCCAGATCGTTGAAAATCAACGATAGCATGGAATCGATTCGACATACACCGGACTCAGATGCGAACAGCCAAAGCAGTGCGTTGTAAGTAAAGCAATGAAATAGCGCGCAATTCAATTATTATTAATAAAATGAAATTTATTTAACAATTTCATTTAATTTGAATACAGTAAAATGAGTGGCAGTATGCATAATAGCAACAACACCACGAACAACAACAGCAGCAACAATAGCAACAAGTACATAATAAGTGAGCAATGCGATATGACACCTTCACCCTCTGATTCCGGCATATCTGAACTGGAAGACAAGTTGAAAGATCGAGACTCGGAGCTGTCATACCTGCGACAGACCATGGAACATAATGAGAAAGTAATTTTCAAAGTACAAAAGGTTTACATTTTTTTCTAGGATTAACTACAGTTAATTTAACTAACATATTTTTTATGCCAAACTAGGACAAGGAGGCATTTTGGGAAAGTGAAACTAAGCGACTGAAATCCTTCTATGAAGGCCAACAGCGTGAGTGTCTGCTCAAAATGAAAAAGATGGAACAAATGCTGGCGATGCAACAATTTCAGTTCAAGCAACACAAACTGCGTCACACAGATCAGTCCAATAAGCTGAGAGAGCAAATGGCAGATTTGAAAAATGAGAATGAAATTCTAAGGTAATTTCAAGTATGGAATAATGACTGTAAATAAGTTTTAATTTATAAATTTTTTTCTGTAGAAGTAATAATATAAGTTTAAAAAATTCGGAACGTAACTTGAAAGATCGGGTCGCCTACATTGAAGAGCAACTACGAGAGTCACAAAATATGCTCATCGATATGCGTGCACAATTGGAGGAGAGCGAATGGAAAGTGTGTGAACGTAATGGCGAATTAGCTTTACTTAAATCCCAACTGAAAGAGGCTAATGTAAGTATTTACAAATTTCCTATATACTTGTTATCAAGAACAGAAGACAAATAGACAATGTATTATATCTAGTTCTAAATGTCCAGCTTTACCCTGGACTTAACAATAGCTTATTAGAAAGAGAGAACTAAAAGAAACGAACTGCAAATGAATTTAATCCGAGTGTCTGTTCCGGTTTCTTTCCAAAATAAAGTGTCAGCTCAATAATCTTTACAAGGAGTACAATAGATCCACGTGTGCTGCAGTCGGAGTAGACTAGTGTCTCTTCGCTTCCCGCTGTCTGAACTTTCATTTGAATTATGCTTGTGTAATAATGTTCCTTTTTTTCAGTTACTATTCAACTATAGCAGAATAAACGAACCTTCATCTAATTTTATTAGATCTGTATTTTTCATTAAGTTGGATTCTTTGCATAACGAGGGATATGTTCTATTAAAAGAAAATTTTATTCGCAAGTTAATTTAACATGGGACCCATTTATAATTAGTTACTTTCTAAGATCAATATCAATGGAGAAATAAATACTGTTCAAACGATACATCGATGTTTTTTAGTCTTCAAATATCGAAAAGATTTCTGAAATTATATATAATGTGTTGTTAACGTGAATATCGAGTTGTTTACCGAAGCATATTTACTCAACTCTGTCTTAACTTGGTATCTGAATCCACTGATAGCATGGCGATTTTTTATTTAATATTTTCCGATTGCATATGTGTCAGTAGTAATGAAGACTGATTTCAGGAGAGAGAGAGTAGTATTTAATACAAGTCAATGACATAAACAAAAACATAAATAGCCGTTTAAATGGTTTATTTTCTCAATTCTTAAGCTATCACACTCTATCAAGCATACGATGGTATTAATCCTTTTTGTGGGTTACAAACTACTATACCGACTAGACAATTTATGACAATAATTATTTATATTTTTTTCAATAAATTCTACAGTGTATCTGACAACAAATTTTTATTGTAGGTTGAAATCACAATGAAAGAACATGCCATCGTACATCTCAAGCATGAGAACACAAATGCTGAAACACAAATCTACCAAAGTCTTCAAGAGAATCAAAAGATTACACAACAGCAGAAACAAGTGGAAGAACTGAAAGCACAGTCAGAAAAGGAAACTGAAACTGAGCTAAAGCAACTGAATAAAATTATAATACTAAAGGATCAAGTCATATTGGCACTTACGAATGAGTTGGCCAAATTACGGAAAGAACTGTCGGATTTAGTTATATCTCATGAATATGGTGAGGAACCTTCTGGCAAGTACATACGGCTGAAGCAGCAATTGGATAATTTATCAGACATTTGCAATAAGACACGTAAACACACGCTCAGATCAGAAGTCAACAGAGGTTCAAAGGAGAAAGTAATCGATGATACGAACTTAGAGGTGATATTGAACTGCTTGAAAATCGCGCCACCATTGGATATTGATCATAGCGATAATAGCGATGAAAATAACACTGAGAAACGCTTAGCGAAAATGTCGGCTGACATACAGAAATTTGTGTATGGTTCACAAAACTTACCCGATGTAGCTGTCAATGTGCAAACTACAAAATTCAACACGCAAAAACTAGAAGAGTCCACACTGGATACTTTAATTGAAGAGTCTGCCAATTATGCTGAAGAAATTGCGAAACTACGTAAGCAATTGGATGATGTGCGTGAAAATTTTGAGTTGGAAAAACGCCAATGGTGTGTAGAACGTGAAAAGGTGCTCAATTATCAGAAGCAGTTACAGGTGCATTATATCAATATGTACCAGAAGCTACGTAGTTTGGAGAGCTCAAATGAGTTTTAGATAGTTTGGCCTTACTAAATTAGTAAAAATGTTAATTTAAAATGTTAATTGAGAAGTAAACATCATTTAATTACTTCATTATTATGATATATGTATTGTTGTTGTAATTTTAAGCACATAATATTCCTTAACTGCAAACACTTGACTTGGAAATGTGTTTTATTTTTTATATTTATTTTCATTTTATTATTTTGTTTAATTTATACAAAAATGCATTTGAGTTGCTCATGTTTTATATGGTCTAAGTATTCCAGTTGTAGTTATATTTTTTAAAATAAATACTATAAATATTGTTAATAAAAAAATTAAAATAAATATATATAAATATATATAATAATGTATATTGGAAATTGTTTTAATCATTTTAGTTATACATATAAGATATAATTTTTTATTTCTCTTTTATAAAAAAAAACATCTAAACAAATATTAAACGAACCTATCATTCAGATTCTAAGTAAGGGCTGATACTTTCCTTCTCAACTAATTTTATAAAAATAAAATGGGTCATATTTTTATATTAAAATATACTATTTTATTTTATATCGTAAATATTTTTTGTATAAAATCAACAATTAAACATATATATAATTGCATTTTACAGGATTTAGTGAATATTAATTATCAATTAAATCGTTTTCTATAACTACTCAATGCTTAAAATATGCTACAAACTGAAATCGCTTATATGTGGGACATGAGGTTTATATTATATTGCTTAGACTACATAAATATAAATTAGTTTAGATATTTTCATTATTCATTTTTATAATTACTGGTGCGTTGCACACTTAGACTTGTAGAATATTGCGAAAATGAACATTGCACTGATATCCTGTACTTTTACGCCCACATATCGAGACGGTCGTATGAGAACCCAAAAGTACAGCACAAGTGCAGAGTTCTAAGTACACATAATAATCAAAATATGTTGTACTTATTGGACAATTCAGGGAATTTATTTGAATTTTAATTCAAAAATATCTAAAATTAATATTTAAAATATTTTGTTTTGCTGTAACAAGTAACAAGTAATGTTAAAGCAATTCTTTTGGCAGTTGTTGGGAAGACAATTTTCGTTAATGCGGACAAACTAGCTTTAGCAATAAAATATATTAAATAAAATTTTAAATATCAGTTTGCCTCACTAAATATATATGAGATTAAATGAAAACCCACTGCACTTAATTTTACATTGAAAATAATAAATTTGTTCCACTGTAAGCAATGTTGTCATTAGCCAACACTGACCCATTTAATTTATTCAAGCGAACTCCTCCACGTATGTAGCGGGGAAAATACCAATGTGATTACGCAATGCGCCCAACCACCAACCATCCTCTTGTTTGGCATGGACTTCTATAATATCGCCAGGATTTAGTTCCAGTTCGTCATATAATTTTGGTGTATAGCTGTATAAAGCCTTACATCTACTTAAAACTACTACTGTAGAACTAGAGATTTCATTTGCATTCATATTGATATTATTATTGGCAGCAATCTGTGTGCACTCCGCGCGTATTTCTGCAGAATTCTGATAGTGATGTTCAGTGCTGGTGATGCCACCATTACTTATGCCATTTGCAAGCATCGTACTTTTCTCAATTATCACTTTATGTTCTTTGCGACCACCTGAATTGGTCATTTCATCATCTTCATCTTGTGAACTGAACTCATCAAAATCAGAATCTTGTTGATTGGAGCCACCGTCCGCTTGTCCACGATCACTGTATGGATCGTCGATATTTGTTTGTAGTGTTTTCGATTTTTCTAATGGATTTTGTAGACAAATCTGTGTGTTAATGCTAAACGTTTCAATGTTGCTCTTACTACGACTAAATTTCTTTAACAGCATATCCTTATTTAAATCAGTGCAGCTAACATTTGAGGATGTATTCGCTTGTGAGATGCAATCATATTCATTGTCGCGCAATGAATCATCAACATTCGAATTATTCAGTTTGTCATTGTTCTTCAACCAAAGTGGTACTTTCAGTATACTCTGTTGTAGTCCTGTACGATCACGTGTTATCTGAAAAATAAAATAAAAAAAGATATTTATCAGTTTCTTGATGTGAATGTTTCAATGAAAAAATCTATAGTCAATAATTTGTATAGAATTGATTCAAAATTATGGTGAGAGCAGAATATAATTAGATTTTTTTTACATGAGCCTAACTCTTAATTTTTAATTTAAAGAAAAAGTACGCCTCATCAATACTGAGATGATTCTGTAGAGCAGCGAATGGTACGAAAATCTATCAGAAAAGCAAAACAACAACACTGTAAAATCTTCATATCCAAATTCTGCACAATCAAAATGAAGAGAAAACCAAATAGTACATTGTTTGTGCAATTTCTTAGTGGCTATTGGTGAGCATTGCTATTTGCGTGATACGCTAAGATATGCAACTAGCTATGTGAGCATAACATTTCTATGGCTTTGTTCGGCTATGTTTATTGAAAATAATATCTAACATGCATATCCTTATTTGATGTATCAGAGCAGAGAATTCTCAATGGTCTAATGCAAATGATATTACACAAACAAAAGTACAAAACTTATAAACCGTCGGGTATTATTATTTTTTGTTACGTATGCTTATAACGGACTAAGTCGAGGGCAAATTGAACCACTGCGTCCTTTGATACTTTTTATCGAAGTATCAAAACAGCTTTCAATGTTTTTACACGATTTATACATTTCTAATTAATATTGCTTAGTGTCATGCATAGTTCTATATGTTGTTGTTCTGTGTTTTTACCAGTCATTAATCAGAATCTTGCTTTATTTAAATAAATTACCTCCTCCTTCTTTTAAGTTTTCATTTGTTGACGTTTGTGTTTTTTGAATATAATTTTCGATAACAAGATCATTTATACTTCACTATTGCCAACAACTGCACTTGGTTTAAGTTTTTTACATAAACTCGTTACACCTGTTGCATAGGGTTTTGCTATTAGCCATTTCATTAGTTCTTTAGAGCACAATCCACTTATAACTCTGATCTTTTGCATAACACCATTCGCTTCATTATAATGTTGTTCATTATAAGTTTCTTGAATCTAGTTTTCAATGAAAATCAAAGAAGTGGTTAGTACTTCAATGATGACATATATCATATCAATAACATCACAAATATATGTTGTGATTATTATATATATTTCATAAACAATATTACATAAACTTTAGTTATACTATATCATATATACAATCTTCAAATTAAATATTATAAAACACATATTGCAAGTTGTATATTTTATTAATATCTAAAATGCAATCAGGTATATAAAACTTATTTAAACATATAGATATTCTTCTTCTATATATAGGAAGAAACTTAGATATCCATACAATCGAATATAATACATATATAAATATCATCAGTATTTATAACAGATTTCAGCAGAAATCTTTTGGAATAAAAAAGTATTCAAAAAGTGACCCGATTCCAGTCTTTTAAAATAATTCTCTAGTTAACATGATTCAACGACTTAGGCCTGATGTCAATTGTGTTGTAAAGTAAAGTTCAGAGTGTTTTAAACTATTTCAAACTTTTAATAAATAAGATATCCCTTAAGTAGATTTACTGCTTAGGATTAATTTCATCTAGAAAAGAAATCTAGATATATTTCATCTAGAAATATATATGCCTAAGCTGTGCATTTGCGGAGAACACTACCGTCATTTTCCTCACAGTTGCAGCTAGAGTCATTAATAATAATAAGCATAATTTCTCAATCCACAAATATCAATGTGACTAATGATATGTGAATGATAATATCTAATTTATAAAATGGAGTATATATCAGAAAAGTTGTTACATTTTTTTTATTTAATAAGTGTTTGTATATCTTCGATTCTTATAGCTTTGCTTGTAAAATAATATATTTTTAACAAATTACATGATTTAGATTTAGAGCATTTTGGAAGATAATACGTGGAACACAGAAATAAATATAAGTAAGTATTATATTTTTACTTGAGTAGTAGTAATGAGTAGTATATAATCATAAGCCTAGTTGCAAGCGTATATCCTCTATTTTAACCTCTCTGCAGTATTCAATAACATTCAACCAAATGTTTTATTCTATAATTCTAAATAAAATTCTTGACTTACTTGTATATGTTGCGCAAGAGGATGCGTTGTACGTGGCTTATGATCCAGTTCCAGCAAAGCTGAATGTAATTTAAAACGGGAGCCCTCCAAATATGTTAGCATTGAACGAATCTAAAACAAATGCAATATATTTTAATTAAAAACTTTTAAACAACAATTTAAATTGTAATACTAACATGATACAATTTATCGGTAATATTTTGATTCTCTTGGTTATTCAATGATTGCGAGAGACCCTTCAATCCATTACGTGAACGTCGTTCGCGTTCCAAATCAGCTTTTACCAATTGTAGTAATTTGATTAGAGCATGTTTTCGCCTCTCACGATTCATTGCCAAAGTTGTGTGTTCGCAATAAAAGTCGGGTAACAACTGTTCACTTGGACCCTCTGAATTACGTCTTATATTCTTAACAACTTGCATGTCCTTCAATACATTACAGGCATCAACTTGTGGCTGTAGACGCTGCACTACGCTAT